GGAAATGCGTCACGGGGAGGGTCCGTCCACTTCCATCCCCCTACTCCCCCGGCCGCCATGTTGGGAGGGTCGAGGGTGGTTGGGAGGTGGGGCCGCGATACCCCGTGCGCATGCGCATGCGTCCCCCTTTCCCCTTCTCCCTGCGGTCGCATCAGGCCAGGCGTGCGAACAGGTGCACGCGTGCCCTTCAGGGCCTGCCCAGGTGTGTGCACGCGTGTCAGGGCCGCGGCAGGCCAGGTGCGTGTACACACACACACACACGTGTCCCGCCGGCCCGCAGCAGCGTCACCAACGCACATCCTTCCCAGAGGCCATGGCATGTGTGCAAGGGGATGCAGTTCCACGTGGGCACGGCGCAGGAGCCACGCGTCCCTTGCACCCCGGGTGCCACGGCAGCCCGCCCGGCCCGATGCCCCAGGACGCACATGGATGCGGAGGGGAACCCGCTCCCCTCGTACCCGAATTGGGCCCCCGACGTCGGAGGAGAGCAGGCGGCCGTGGGGGCTCCCTCATGGGCCCAGCCCACCTGCAAGGGGCTCGACGGTCACAACAGGCTAACCGGCAAAGAGCAAGTCGGTGGAGTCCGGCATCGCCGTCCCCGAGGCCGCCCGAGACACACACGAGGCAGTTGCGTCTCCCCCGCGCGGCACCGGACGTCCAGCCAGATTCACGCAGCCGCGGCGCAGGAGGAAAGGGGCAGCAGGCAGCGTGGGGATCGGCCTCCGCGTCCGGACCCCAACGCTGGAGGCTGCGAGTGGGAGAGGGGGGCCAGCTCTGCTGGGACGCGCTCGCCCTCCCTCCGCCTCCACCACGTGGACGCTGAGCGACACAGCCTGCTGCGGTGACGTTCTCACGTGGACGCCTGCGCGGGCACGGCGAGACTGGGCAGGACCTGCTCTCGCGTCCCGCCGAGGGGCTGCCGCCTGCCGCGGGGCCGAGGTGCAGGCATCCTGCTTTATTCGAGGCCAGTGCAGCCCAGCTCCCGCCCAGCCCCGGACTGCATGTCTGGTCCCCTTCAGCACAGCCTCCCCGTGCCCACCACCCGGCTGGCACGACACCGCTCGGGCCCTGCCCGTGGTCCCCGTCGGCACCGAGATGTGCAGCGCCCTACGCGGCCAGCCCCACCATCCTCTCGCTGACCTCCCACAGCTTCCTGGCAACTGTGTCGTCCCGGGCACGGGGCCGCGGCTCCTGCGGGCGGCAGTCGGCAAAGAAGCGCCCGCTGAATGCCTCGATGCCCTCCTGGGTGGCGCAGTGGATGGAGGTCTGGGCTCCGCTCACGGCGTCTTGGAAGAAGAGCCAAGAGAAGGGCATGAAAAGCAGCCGCAGCCAGGCAGGGACGAAGGAGAACAGCGCCGTGTTCACGACCCCTGCGGGCAAAGGTGGTCAGGGCAGAGGGCAGGACAATGCCATGGTGCCCGAGCAGCTGGGCAGAGCTCGGGGAAGCCCTGCGGCCTTGCGCCAGCTCCGTCAGCATGGGGCACAGGGAAGCACCCTCCCAGCACTGGACCCCCGCACCCCAACATCCCCGGTTTGCAGCACAGCACGAGGCGGCCGAGCCTCGGGACTCCGCATCCTGCCTTGGGCAGACCCGAGGCAGCGCCAGCCCCGAGGTCAGGCGGCGCAGGCTCACCTGGGTGCAGCGCGTAGCAGGTGACGCCGGTGCCCTCCAGCCGGCCGGCCAGCTCCCGGGCGAAGAGGATGTTGGCCAGCTTGCTGTCGCAGTAGGCCTGGAAGTTCTGCAGCACGCCCTCCACCGGCCGGCCCAGGCGCTCAAAGTCGATGCGCCCCGAGCGGTGAGCGTTGGAGGCCACGACCACGACGCGGCTGGGCGCGCAG